GTCTGGCAAATTCCACAACGCATCACCGTCCACGCAAACCAACCGCATCGGAGTTTCGTCACACCGAACGTACGTAGTAAACGTAAGGAGCTCTCCTCCGAGGCGTTTCACGTCAAGTATGACACTGGACATCACATTTCTCATGAACTGCCCGTGGATGACCCAAGTAGCGCAAGCGAGCAACGACCGAATGGGGCGTAGCAAAATCCTGGGCACTTTCAGCTTCGAAGCTTGCCACACCGACGATCCTATGTTTACAACGCTGTCAGGCACCTCCAAGTCATGATCAACAATGCGAGCGCTATTCTGGCACGGCGTCAGCACATCTCTATAACGATCAACGAGGTTCAGAAATTGCATTATAAACGACCCAGATGTCAAAGAAAATGCAACTTCTTCTGCTAACAAGGCTGCATTGAAAGTGCACACGAAATCATACGGATTCCGAGGAATGGCGGGGACGATCGCTCCGCCTGCCTCGCCCTCGGCCGCGCCGTCCTCGAGTGCACCTGCCTCAGCGGCGGCCTCGGCGCCGCCACCTGCTTCATGAGCAACGGCACGCGCAGGGAATCGTTGGCAGGCCTCCGCCCACCTCGAAGACAAGGCACCCAGCAATCGAGAACATATCTGGAGTCGCTGGCGGTCGCTCAGTTCTGCGCGCTGCGGAACAATGGCGAGCTCGGAGGGGGGTGATGCATCACATTCTTGCGCGCACTCAGCGTCGCTGCTACCATCTGCGACCAAGTCAGCGAAGGGGTTGGCAGCAACAGGGCCATCGACTTCGTCCATCGAGCGTGGTTCATCACATTCGATGGCGCACTCGCCGCCAATGCTACCATCTGCGACCTCCGCCCAGGGATTGGCACCGCCGTTGTCTCCGACCCCCGCGACCACCTCGGACCACGGGTTCTGCATGCAACTGCACGGGGAGCTAAAACGGCAATGATTTGGGCAACAATGGTTGCAGATGGGAGGGAGGACGAGGAGAGGAGGGAGTGGAAGGGGGGACGAAGTATAGGAGCAGCTGCAACAGATCGTGGGGCTCCACGGCTCCATCGTTTCAGAATTCTGCGAGGGCGGCCGCGAGCGCCGCCACCAGGGCCGTGCTTTTTCAAAAACCTGATGTTTCGAAGCTTATGTTGTTGCACAGTCCTTGGACATTGATGGGCCCCCTCCCCGCAGCTGGAGCTCAACGGGAATTTCGAACATGCATGCTCGACGTGGCCCGTGGCAGCTGGAGCTCGGCGGGAGCTTCGCAAGATCAGAGCTTACAAGCAACCACCTCGATCGGCCTGCCGTGATTCGAAACACGGCTCGAGACGGGCGAGGGGTGGCAGGTCCTTTGCTTCGCCCTCCTCCTTTCTCTCCTTCTCCTCCGCCTGCAACTGATATTTGCCGAGCTAGCTAACTTCGAGTTTGTCCTCCTTCACCTTCCCCCTCCTCCTCCTCCTCCTCCTCCTCCTCCTCCTCCTCCTCCTCCTCCTCCTCCTCCCCTCCCCCCTCGTTGCTCCTGCTCTCCCTTTTTCGCTATGCCGTCCATTTCGGCATGCGACCGTTCCCACTGGGACCGTAGTTGGGTCTTGCCATGAAGCGCTAAGTTCGCGAGGCTCAGCGGCGCTCGCTTCATTTGCAAGGTTCGGTCGCTCTGGCACGAGTGCAAGGATGTCCATGATCGTTTGCGTTTTAATTTGCTATTTCACTGCAATCCTGAAAGCGATTCAAAACCAATTCAAAACCAATTTTGAATATTTTCCAACTTCCTACAACAATAGGGTTCCAATCACCTCAAGTCTAGGCTCGCCCGGCTCGCTTCGCCCGGCTCTGGCCGTGGACGAAGCGGTGGCCGCTCGCCCGCCGAGCCGCCCGTTATAAGGTCCGCCCGCCCCGCCCGACCCGCCCGTGAGGGCTCGCGCGTGCTACCTCGATAGCGCATCATGCTTCATGTCCCGCCCGCCCGAACTAGTTTTTTTGTTTTGACGCAACGCACCCCGCCCAAGCACAGTTTATGAACCCTCAGGTCCGGTATGCATCAGAGCCGAAGGAGGAGGAGGAGGAGGAGGAGGAGGAGAAGGAGGAGGGAGAAGGATGAGAGGGCCAAACACCTAGGGTCTGCCAGCCCGCCCGAACTAGGGTCTGCCCGCCCGACCCGACCCACCTGTTAGGGTCCGCCCGCCCGGCGAAGCGAGCCCCAGCGAAACGAGCCCTGGCGAAACAAGCTTCTTTTTTTGTGTCGGCGGGGCGAGAGCGAACCTCTTCCGCTAAAAGCTAGGCGGGCTACGCACAGCTTCAATTAGGGTGACAGGGCACAGGCGGGCGGGGCCTCAGGCGGCCGGAGTGGGCGGGGTCCGGGGTGCACCCTGGCGAAACAAGCCCCAGCGAAACGGAGCCGCCACCGTTCTTCTCGCGCCCGCCTGCCGCCGAGGGCGAGGACTTGCCGGAGGCGACGCCCTTTCTGGAACGGCCCACTGGGCTTAGGCCATGAGCTCTTCTGGGTCTCCTT